AGTGAAATTGGGGGTTGCATTTCTTCACGTACTGAAACTCTACATGTCACGATATGAAAATCCAGGATCGGGCGACGAAAAGAATTCAAAACAATTGAAACAGAAGCAAAAATGTCGTCATATATTGCGAGGACTGTACTATGTACTGATTCACCTTTTCTTTGGTTGCTTTAATACGATACGTTACAATATGCGCGAATAATATTTACGTATACATATTATATGCATAATTAAAACTATTTTTATACTGCATTAATTTCTTCACGCTATAATAGTAGTAACGAAGCTAATATTGACAAATTTAGACTATTTTTATACTCCATTAATTTCTTCACGCTATAGTAGTAACGAAGCTAATATTGACAAATTTAGACTATTTTTATACTCAGAAAAATTAAGACTATTTTTATACTCCATTAATTTCTTCACGCTATAATAGTAACGAAGCTAATATTGACAAATTTAGAAACATTAAGACTATTTTTATACTCCTTTAATTTCTTCACGCTACAATAGTAACGAAGCCAATATTGACAAATTTAAAAGAATTACCACTCACTCGAATTATTTGCGTTTACTAATGGTATCGAGGTATGGCATAGCCCATGGCATTCAACGTGTCGAGAAAAAGATACGACAAGTTGCGAAAAACCCTCGCGAGGCTTGCTTGTTAGCTTTCTATGAATCCGTTGAATATTAAACTCGCGCCGAGAGATTCGCGAGCGGCGTGTGTTTACAGAGTTGATTTCTAAAGAAAATAATCGCGGCTATTGGATCGAAGTTGGCTGTGTACGGGCGAACCGTTAATATCGAGGATTTATTTGCACGCTTTGAGGATACATATTTTTATAAAATATGTCTCTCTCGTTGGATATATAGCTTGACGTCGCGCGGAAGCCGGGGCGCATTCCGGGATTGTTTCCCAGCAAAACTCGCGGAAGTTATTTTCATTTTTGCGATATGTATATATGTGTGTGTGTGTGTGTGTGTGTGTGTATGCGTGTGTGAAGTCAACTGTCGGAAGGCTGTGCAAACGTAAAAATCCCACGGGGGATGAAATATCGAAAACCTTCAACCGGCGACCATCTCTTCTATATAACGCTCGTGTCGTTATCGTCGTCGCGCGCTTCACAAATGGCAAACAATTGAAAGAAGGGAGAAAAGAGGCTATCGTCGGTTACCTAGCTACCTAGCTGGTAATGAAAATTTTCAGACGATGAGAGTTTCGTTTAAAAATACAACGAATCGTATAGGTTACACAATTGTGCGTGTATCCATCTAGTCCCGTGGTTCCCAACGCTCCCCCCACAGGGTGTGAAAATTTGATTTTCTAGGCGGGCAATTTGAGAATGAATGTCTTTTTGCATTTCTTTAATTTTCTGATTTTTTTTTTCCTTCCGATTCGGACGTCACGTTCTTTGGGAGTTTGTTTAGACCTTTAGGCTTCCTCCGCGTCAAACATTCACTTTTTCAATGGTAAAAATGATGTGTCGCGGAGATGGAGATGTTTAGGTAGGTGGGGCATGGCCAAAACGAAGGTTGGGAACCACTGGTCTAGTTCGAGCGACATCGAAATAAAACGGTGAGGATCGAGACGGCGGGAGTAGTATCGTAGTTCATAAAGCGGGAGAAATAAATTCCGCGAAATAATTTCCCGTGCTTTCGTGTGGAACGGTCAAAATTTTTACGCCCGCGTTTTATGTTTATGGGTGGGAAAGTCAACCGTATTTCACTCGATAAAAGTCGAACGCGAGAGAATCGAGAATAGGAATGTTTCGGTAACTGTAAACCGAAGCAGGGTCTCTCAACTCCTTCGGACGTCACCTTCATCGATAACCGACTCGAGTAAATTCTTATTTATGTACTTCGAAACAACAAGATGTTCCATTCGATACAATACAGCGACAAAGTAGAAAAACAATATAAAGTAATGACAAAATTCTCCGATTTTACAATTTCTCGTCGCACGAGGTACGAATCGCTGGGAATTACGCGCAATCTTCGGTTTACGATCACGTTTCCGAACCGATTACGTTCCCAAAACAATTCGCTTCGCCGCGTTTTACCGACCGAACGTCGAACCAGTCGGTCAAAGCGTGTAACTGGTGGAAAATTGAGCATTGGCGAAACTGAGAAACAACTGACGAGTCGATCGAACAAGAATGATGAATTGTACAGTCTTGTTAACCTCTTGCAATTAGCTGTGGTGTCGCTCTCAACCCTTTGCGCTGGCAACTAATTCACGGACCATAACGAGTGACCAAACCGTGTACAATAATTCGTCACTTTCTTTTGAAAAACTCGGGGCTGCAATAATATCACTAGATAGAAATTACCAAGAAGTAATAAATTTATTATCTATTTTGCTGGATTATATTTAAATATAACTTAAAACTGAGAAAATATTGCAATTTTGGGAGAAAAAAAATTCTCGACGTGCGTGGCACGTCAATTTCAGCGAAAGAGGTTAAAAAATGTTTGTATCTACGCACGACGCTACGATGACGATTATACTCATCAAACGCAGCTGCTGTAAAATTGAATTAGATTACAAGGAAATGACACTAGTTTTCTTTTGAAAGATCACTAGTTTACATTTTGTTGTAAATATTAAATTGAATCTCGTCGCGCAGGTAAATATTTGGGAATGATGTAAAAAGAGCTAGTCTCGAAATGTTCTAAAATGTCTAAAGTTTTATTAGATAGGCAAGAAATTTAACTTGAGTAACAAGTTGTAGTTACATTTCTCGTCGTGAAGAAACATTGCTATTTTTCGTGCAATGACGATTGTAGTCATTCATAGCTAAGAGGTTAAATCTCTCGAATCGGTTCGACAAGACCTCCCCTCCAATCGGCCGCTTGTTCCCTCCACTGTCATCATCTATATATATAAATGTGCCTATTATACCGTGCAAGTAGCAACAACGTTCGATCAAACGGATCGAGCAGAGCTTCAATCAACAAAATTTCCAAAACCGACGACAGTTTTTTCACGGTCGAACGGAAAATGAATCGAATACAAAGAGAAAGCTGAAGAATCGTTGGAATTCCGGATATTTACAAGGCTCGATCTAAATTTACGGCGTTTCTTTTTTATTTCGAAAACCTTCGGGATCGACATGTGCTCGCTAACTAGAAGGGGTGGGGAAGAGGAAGAGTTTAAATATTTAGCGAACGTCAGAAGCGATTTTCAGCGAGAATAGGGCCGATACTGGTTTTCGTTTGGACTCGGAGGGGGAATTGTTTTGATTGTTGGCCGCGCGTGAACAGTCACGTTTAGATACCAGTGGAACAGCTAAACGATTTCTACCCGTGTGGCACGTCGAGAATTTTTTGTCCTAAATTGCAACATTTTCTCAGTTTTAAGTTTAAATTAATATTTAAATGTAACCCAGGCAAAAAAAAAAAAAACAAATAATAAATTTATTACTTCTTAATAATTTCTATCCAGTGACATGTCGACGTGTTCAAAAGAAATAGAAAGCGACGATTTTATTGTACACGGTTCGGTCGCTCGTTATGGTCCGCGAATCAGTTGCCAGCGCAAGGGATTATTCGTTCGGCGCTCTTTCTTCTTTCGTAAGTTTTTTTTCTTTCTTTTCTTTATTTTTATTATCTAAAGTCGCATCGACCACTTGTTAACTTGTACTTGGAGCTAATCTTGCAATTCGTTGTAAAGGTACAATTCGTTGGACCGTCCTGGAAAGTTTTAGGACCGATTCTTTATCCTTCAAGTCGTTCAATTCAGAGAGGGACTTTTGTTCAATTGATGTCTATTCGCGGTGTCTATTTTCTGCAGTGGACGACACGTCCCGCTGTCGATTGAACTTCGCGCAAATCACAAGTTGGGAGACCTTGTTTGCTGAGGAGATACTGGTGGGCGAGTCTTGGTATTGTCCTTGAGATTTACAACTTGCTCCGTGGTAGAGAACAAGCGATTGTCTCCTTAGAATATTCATTTTTGATTGTTGTTAGCCACACGAAAGTTTACACGAAGATCTCCATTTGTTGTTCTTTCGTAACTGTCTCTTATCAAGACTGAACTTTATCAAATTGGACGAGCCTACAAATAATAGATACATGCGTTTCTATTGCCCGTTCTCAAGGGGATTGCGTCGAATACCGTGATCAACTGTATAACGATTAAACGGTGTTTCAGCAAATAATGGTTCGTACTTGGTAAAGTGCTGAGATATCGTCTTCCGTCGCGGTGGCAATCGATCATTCAGCCCAATAGAAACGCAGTTTAAACACGTTAAGCACGCTTGAACGAGAAACTCTATTACACCCACGGCCATGTATAGATCCCCAGCCGCTATGTGGATGATCCAGTAAATGCTCGTTTGTCCCGTTACAAACTAATAACGAAATTCTTAGCTCTTGATATTCGTGTCCTGAAGAAATTTAAAAGAATAGCTTTGTAGAAAAAAGGAAAGAAAGAAGGAAAGAAAGAATTTTTAGAGAAGAGATGAAGCTCAACATTGATTGAAAAATCAAAAAGATCGAAAGGTTGTCGTGGCTTGCTATTGAATCACGTGACAGTTATTATTATTTTGTGATAGTTGCATTAACGATACCTTCAACTCATAGTTACAGTTGCGTAATATATGCTTTCGAAGTGAAATTTATATCAAATAAACCGTTCGCGACTGAGAATTTTCGCAATTTTTAAAAAGAAACTAACGCACCGGAAAATATCGAATAATATTAACAATAATATTATCAAATTTAATCATATTATAAACCATTGAAATCTTTCACGACGCAATGGAGCATGCAAGCTTTTATTTATAACATTTGACGAAGAATCATTTAAATCTCCAAGAATACAGCGTAAAATTTTTAACAAAAACTGTATATGTTGAAACGACTTTATGTCAAAAATGTCTTCGTGACAAAACGACTGTATCTTCCTGTGTATACTATTTTTCTTTTTTTTTCTAATACCATCAGATAGCAATTAATTCGTCCGAATTTAATCGTACTTCTTTCTGTTGCAGTGTGAGAAGCGTGATGCACAAATATCTGGAAAAGAAGAGGGAAGTTAACTTCGATAAGATATTCAATCAAATGTTTGGTGAGCAACTCTCAGCTATGTTTTGTCGTTACGTACACGCTGGCCCGCGGTTCTTCGTTCAGTGTCAGTCAATTGACAATTAACTCGACGAATTAACAGAAAAGTTTACGAGCTCGAGGGTCGACAACAAAGCTGCAAAGGCTAGGGAACACGATTCGGCTGGAAAGCAATATCATTTGGAATCAATGGAATCCCAAACCAAACAATAAAATCTCATCGGCACAGAGAAAGTCCAAATTAATCGTAGAGTGGGTAGCGAAATCCTTTAATCTGGATTGGCTATGGGATTTTTTTCTCCTTTCTCTTTTCAAATTTTTTAACGAGTATTATATCATACCGAGTATTATACATCAATCCGCGAAAACAAAGTGAGAGAGATAGAGAGAAATCAATGTTGTCAGCGAAACTTTTGCTTTTTCTATTTGCACAGATCATTTCATTCTCGTTCCTCTCTAAGTATAGTTGCTCTGCAAATATCTCCGCTTTTTACGCGTAATTATAGCCCCGCAGCGATAGTTATCGCGCAAAGAGAATTGAAAATCAATTTTATATAACGCTCGTTGAACTGTGCGCTGATTGACCGACAAAACGTATTTCTTTCCATTTATCGGGACGGTAAGTTCGCTATCAATCCACCGATTCAGCTCGGTTAAAATCCCAATCGAAGTACAAAAGGCTGTGAGAGTAACCCTTCCGAAAATCGTTTCCGCGCGGTTTGTTTTTCATTTCCAAAGGAGGACATTTCTGATTGTCGATTGTACGACGATTGAACTTCATTCTTCATCTTTCTCGTAACTAAAATCGTAGATCTTTGTTTTTTCTTTTTTTTTTTTAATCTCTCTCTCTCTCTCTTTTTCTCTCTGTACCGTTTGAGTTAGAATCGCAATAAAGCAGTTATTAAAGCAACGAAATTATCTACCAAATTGAAAAAAAAAAAACCGTGTGTTCGCCATACGTGCCGGCGAATGACGTGTCCAACGAATAAAAGCATCCTTGGCTCAAACGATACAAAATTAGAGAGCACTTTTTTTTTTTTCTTATAATGTGAAGCCTAGCGTCATTGGGATTGCTCTTTTTGTCGCAATTTAAAGCGCTTTGATTTTTATTGCGAAAGGCCGCAACGTTATCGATCATCGGCAGTGGTTTAAAATAATCTCCACCTAAATATAACATTTGATAAAAAAGATGCGATTTGTATCAGTATGTTTTAACTATGCCGTGTAAACTTGCAATTTTTTACGTATTTTGTTGAAATTGAATACACACGGGCACCGCAAGAGCAATTGTCGCGATTCGAATATTGTTTTTATTTGAACAACAAGCAAAGTGATCACTTTCCATGAACAATAGTCTAAATTGCTTTTATACCTGACGTCGAACCAAAGTTCTCAATTGGCAGACAGTTTCAGTTCTATCGGAGAAAGAACAGGCTGCTTTCTACGAACGTTTTGACACCTAAATGTGGAAAAATGTGCGCATGGTAAAATTCTTTTTTCTTTTTTTTCACTCGCATTACGTTGCCATGTTCGAAGGTGTGGTGTAAGTATGCGTTTCAATTGCGAAAAACGCCGAAAGGAAAAAACATTTCTCTATGCATACATATGTAGATCGAATGACGTCTTACTTCTTAATTACACTTTGTTTCTTCTTTTCTTTTTGTTCTTGAAGTACCTCTAGATGACTGTTAGACTTCTTTTGCTACGGTTTTCCGTCCTAATTAGAAAACAGAGTACAATTCATCTCACGAGTAATCTAGTATCGACCTTTCTCTCTTTTTCTCTCGAGTGAGAGATTTTTACGCCGCTGCTGCGAGTAAAAAGTTGCAATACGCGAAACAAGGAGAAAAAATTAATAAATTTCGTGTTTGCCCATACGTCGATTTACTACGAAACGATAACAAAAGTTTCTCCCTACCTATTTTTTTTTTTTTTTTTTTTTTTTTAAAAAAAACCAAAAAAAAAAAAAAAAAAAGAGAAGAATGAAGAGAGAAGAAGCTAACCATCATGTAACGGAGCTACGAACGTTTGTTNTTTTTTTAATAAAACCTCAAAATATAAAAAAAAACTAATTTTAAAGTAAATTTAAGTCCAGACTTGATCCAAATTCCAAGTTATTAAGTCCAGATTTTCTCTTTATGTTTTAAAAATTATTTCTTTCGAATTTTGATGGCTAGAGGATTCGTAAATTTGAAAAATATATATATATTAAAAAATTATTTATTTTAATTAGGATTTATTTTAATAGGAAGTGATTTTTGACCCACTATATTAAAGTCGTCAGTTTATTACAATACTGGCGTTGGCCAGTATTTATTACAAATCAATCGTCTTCGTTATTTAAAATCGATCGAACTGTTGAAATTCGTCCGATTCATTTTATTCGATTCGATGGAACTAGCTGATGGCACGCGTTGGATTTTATTTTATCGCTAATGTAAGATAGCTGGCCAACAATTTGCTAAGGGGGGTATACTAACGAGATAGCAGATAATCGAATGTACGTGTGTATACAAAGTTTGAACAGTTTATACCTCTAGTTTCAAAGACGAAACTAAATTAACTAATAAATAAAAACTTATCATTGCCTTTTGTTTAGTGGCATGCAAATTACTGAGGAACAAAAAAAAAAAGAAAAAAAAAGAATTTCCAAAATCAGAAATCGCGATAAGTAATTTCAATCTCCAATTATTTTCCACGTAGTTAAAAAATTCATTCAAAATTCGCGCTTGCCACGGGAAACTCAGTCACATAACATGAAATTACGTGATAAAATGAATGCCAGGTTGTAGCAGAAGTGGCAGATTAATTTTTGAAATTGATATCAAAAACGCGTGTTTTTTAATACCAAAAATGAAAAAAGAAAAAAAAAAAAGAATCAGACACACTCGAGTAGTCTGCAAAATCATACAGGCGATTAACTTTCTTTGATAGATACTAATTGTGTATTTTATTGTCACATCATGCATGTATTTTATTTTCATCGTGTATTAAGTTGCATCAAGTTGTCAATTGGATAAAGTTCCGTCTTCTAAAATATGTAGATAATTCTACCAGCTTGAAGCTGTCAGGGCGTGAAAATCAGCGGACTGTGAAAAGAATTTTTTTCTCACATTGTTACAAATCTAAGAACAGCAACGACGTAGCGAAGTCGTATTCACTATTATAAACAAGTGGCGATAAAATATTGCGTAATCACGTTTGATTTAGACCTACGTATTAAGCATTACGTATGTTATTTGTCCCGCCTCAGTGTCGTGAATGACCTAATCCAAAGCATTGTGTACAAGTACAATTTTCATAATTCTTATCCCACGAGAGATTTTGCGAACAAGTTCTTGGCCCTCGAGATTTTAAATTGAAAAATTGGGGATTTGTGTGAAGACGCTGCGAGTCTCTCTTTCTCTCTCTCTCTCTCTCGTGGACCGGACAAATTGAGAAAATTGAAAAATAACGCGACTTTCATGAGTAGCGTTAAAATAGGGCAGTAATTACTTATTTAAGCCTCGTTCGGGACAATGCTGTTTCGAACCCTTTGATGAAATACATCCGTTGCTTAAGATCGAAGCTGTGTACGTGAAATCCGCTCTACCACCGGCAATTACTCGAGATTTATTTCGTTTCGAAACAACAACGTCGTTGATTAATAATAATTGAGACTGCCGAATGATCCCTGGGGTACGAAGCTAACGAAGTTTGTTTATTTTTTTACTTTGAGTTTTAAACAACTGCCTTGCAAGACAAAGACTACAGCTCGACAAGATATTAAATCAGTGAACTGATTTTCAACTCTGTTCAACAAATAGTTTCTCAAATCCTTGATGCACAATGGTGTCATATGTTTCCCGAAAGGACCATTGAATTATTAATTTGCTCTTTCGTCATTCTTTTATTAATCTTGTTGCGTTCTGTTGACACACATAAGAAATTTGCTAACTTTTACGCGAATGAAAAGTAAATATCATTTTTTCGGTCACATCGAATTTAATTTCGCACGTCAAGGGGTTAGATTAATTAACCTCTTGCGCTGGAATGATGTCGTACCGACGAGTTACCGAAAAGAAAAAGGAAAGCGACGATTTTATTGTATACGGTTCGGTCACTCGTTATGGTCCGCGAACCGAATTGCCAGCGCAAGGGGTTAAAGCGACCGAAAGATTCAAAGTTAAATCGTGAAAAAAAAATTCAAATTAAATTCAATATCGATCAGGCGAAAGATCGATCGATCGAAGCATGCATTGTTTTTTTGTTGTTGTTTTTTTTTTTTTTTTTTTCCACCTCGCCGTTACCTTGTGATTGCAGGTTACCTCTTATTCAAAGACTACTGCGAGAATGTGGCGGAGGAGCCGATTCCGCAACTTAGGTTTTACGAAGAGGTTCGTGTTTGCCCGCACACAAAACTATTTAAGTTCGCCAGTAGCGTGATGGCACGCATCGCCATCCCCAACTCCATAAGGAATTTCTCATTTATGCATTGTAGATCAAGGCGTACGAGAAGCTCGAATGCCCGGAAGAGAGGAGAAAACTTGCCAAAGAGATCTACGATAATTTCATCATGAAGGAGCTGCTGGCACACTCCCATGTGAGTAAACTCTCTCGTTCAAATGTCTATCTCTGTGAGTTATGTATATAGCGATCTTCCTACGTCTCCGATCAGTTTCTCTGTCTGGAAAGATACACATATATTGGATTGAATGAAGAGTAATTTCTTGCGATTTTAGTAATAATTATAAAATAATTATAACTAATAAAAGTGATAATTTAAAATTATATATCGATTATACAATATAATTATAATTATAAATTTATTAATATAAATTAATATAAAATAATTATGATTATAAAATATATTATAAATAATTATAATTAATAAATAATTTTAGTAATAATTATAAAATAATTATAATTAATAAAAGTGATAATTTAAAATTATATATCGATTATACAATATAATTATAATTATAAATTTATTAATATAAATTAATATAAAATAATTATGATTATAAAATATATTGTAAATAATTATAATTAATAAATAATTTTAGTAATAATTATAAAATAATTATAATTAATAAAAGTGACAATTTAAAATTATATATCAATTATACAATTATAATTATAATTATAAATTTATTAATATAAATTAATATAAATTAATTATAATTATAAAATATATTATAAATAATTATAATTAATAAATATATAAATAAATTATAATTAATAAAAGTGGAGCAAATTTTTCTCGTACTTTGAACGAGATTTGTTAAATCGAATATCTGCCATTTTCGACCATCTTTTGCCATTTTTGAAGTGAATCCCGTCACTGTGAGAACTTTCGCGTGAAAACTAAAATTTCTTAATAAATCCCCTTCGGAGTTTCACTGTGTCATTGCTGGCTACGTTTCGTATAGTTGGACGTCTCCGTTTTGTCTGGCGAAGCTTGTCGTTGCCCTCGCGAAAGACACCGCCGCGCAGAAAGATTCACCGAAAGAAAAGCTTCTCCGAGTTCCATTGTGCTCGAAAGTTTGCCGCGTTGCGCGTTTATTCGCCGTCTCTCGATGATTGTGCTCGTTCCTCCGCGAGCGTGGAAGGACTCCGAAACTTTTCAGCTCGAAAGATATTGACGCAATTGTCGCGAGTTTTCACTGGAATGGATTAGCAGTTTATAGACTTCTAAGGAGTATTCCATTTGAATTTTTTTTTTTTTTTTTTTTTTTTTTTTTTTTTATCGAAGATTCTACTTTTCTCTGTGTTGAAATTCTTTACGCGTTCGGTGTACATCGACTGTATTTCACTAACACGTTCGAGACGTTCTCAGTCCCTGTGAACCGACACTTCATTATTCGTTCATTTTAATCTGATTTTTATTAATTTTATTAATATAAAAAAATACACGTAAAAAAACGTAAATTCTATAATTCACAGAACATAAAAAATACACGTTCGGCTCCATCTCGAATGTATTGAAAAAAAAAAAAAAAAAAAAAACAGTGAGTTTAGAAAGAAATAGGTATGTACAAATTGCAAGATTTGGATTCACGAGTACACGTTGAAATTGATTCCATCTCTAAATGAAAACTTTCAGCGGTAGTTCAAGCAGTCGGAGAGATCGTATCAGTTCCCAAAGGAGCTTGCTTTGAAGTCGATCGCTTTAATTCTTAAAAACGTAACCCAGAAAGGCTCTTGCAAATGTAGTCTCATTACTTTTATAGAGCAGGCCGCGTTCCGATCCAACTCCGGATCTCTCCCGAAAACCGAGTATTTTCGATGCCTGATTTTAAAACTCGAAACCGTTTCACATCCAGAAACGGCGTGAGCCCTCGGATCTTTTCACTTTTCATTCGCGCGATTTTACTTTATTAACTGCCGATCAAATAAATATTATGAAGTATTCTCGTTCTTTGCTTCTTTTGCAATTTTTTTCCGTCGGTTTCGAAGATCGATCTCGTTTTACCTTCTCGAGCGGGATATCTCCTTGAAACGTCCGCGAATCACCTCGAACCGTGTGTGTTTAACAGAACGTTGATATAAAAAAGAAAGCGGGAGAGGGGGGAGGGGGGAGAAAGTAAACTTGAAAGATACACGCTTTTTACCTTCGAACTCGGCGAGAAAGCGGCCGAAAATCGCTTTTTGAGAGAGAAAAAAAGAGAACCGCGTGAAAGGTGCTTTCTCATGAATGTTTGAACAAGGATCCGGAATAGGTCTTTTCGCGGCGTACCGGCGGGCTCCTTCTAATCTTCTCGGCCCTCGATGCCCTCAGAAGACTAAGAACTATTTCCGTGGCTTTTTCACGCGACTTCCCCCCCCCCCCCCGGATATGGTTGGTTTGCCCCTAATTTTAGCTTCGACTTTAATCGCTCGCATGCTTGCAATTTCTCCCTTCAACGCGTTACAAAATCTTATTCGTTAACCTCTTGCGCTGGAACGCACGTCGAGAATTTTTTTTGTCCCAAAATTGCAATATTTCCATAGTTTTAAATATATTTAAGTATAACTCAGGCAAAACAAATAATAAATTTATTACTTCTCAATAATTTCTATCCAGTGACATATCATACCGACGAGTTTAAAAAGAAAGCGACAAATTATTGTGTACGGTTTCGGTCACTCGTTATGGTCCGCAATCAGTTGCCAGCGCAAGTGATTAAGGATACCTACAAGTAATGTCGTTTTCTGACACTGTAGAAAATTTTATTTTATTGAAAAGTCAACACAGCTTTAATCTGTAATATAATTTAACAATAAACACACTAATTGTCAATGTATTTAACTATTGTTACCTATATTATATAAAACTATTATAACCTATATTATATAAAATACAGGTTATAACATATTTTGTATTATAGCATAACGAATAAAATTATATATTTAAATAAAACAAAATAGGCAAAACAAATAATGAATTTATTACTTATCAATAATTTCTATCCAATGATATACCGATGAATTCAAAAGAAAAAGAAAGCAACAAATTATTGTATATACGATTTGGTCACTCGTTATGGTCCGCAATCAGTTGCCAGCACCTACAAGTAATGTCGTTTTCTGACACTGTAGAAAATTTTATTTCACTTAAAAGTTAATACTGCTTTAATCTGCAATATAATTTAACAATAAACACACTAAATATCAATGTATTTAACCTAGAATATAGATTATATATCAGGCATAACATAGGTTATGTTATAACATATTATATATTATAGCATAACAAATAAAATTATATATTTAAGCAAAACAAAAAATAAGGGAAAACAAATAATAAGTTTATTACTTGTCAATAATTTCTATCCAATATCATACCGACGAGTTCAAAAGAAAAAGAAAGCGACGAATTATTGTATATACGGTTCGGTCTCTCGTTATGGTCTGCGAACCAGTTGCCAGCGCAAGGGTTGATAACTTTGAAGACTTCTGTCGATGGAACGAACGAAAAACGAAAAACCCGTAAAACAGCCAATTGCTGGTGATGCGAAATTTAAAACTTTCCTCAGCAGTGATGCAGTTGAAAATCATCGTCCTCGAGCTTTCCAAACAAACGGAAGTAGTAATTAGTTTATACGAAAAGCAAAAAACTTTTTCTTTTTTTCTGTTGTGAAAAGTTGTACGTAACTACGTAAAGATTTTACTTTTGATTGGCTTTATAAACACGTGAACGATATTTCCACGTCTGCGTAAGATATAATTGTTAATTTTATAAAATTCTTTGTATCATGAATTTTCGACTATGGAAATTTGTCGTCGAAATTTCTTTCTGCAGATGATACAGTACGAAAAACGTCCACGCGTCGTCGTGTAATGCAAAACATTTGTTTCCCCATTGTCGATTTATCTAATTGGGGCAAATAAGGTACAATAGAACTCCATTTGTCGGGGCGATATTTTAGCGCTCGATTAACCGATCGAATCCAATTAGCGAGAGAGCTCACTTTCTCTTGTTTGAACTCCAAAACTCCACAGGCATCTAGAAAAGAATTAGCGGTTTCTCATTATACGATCTACAGGATCGGGCTGATTAAATGTAATATAACTATAATTTTGTAAACGCTAATTGAAAGGAGCTCGAAACGTTAAAAATAAAAGTCGATGTCGTGAGAATGAATCCATTGAAAATGTGCTGTCTAGCTGTTTAATAATAATGTACAGACATGTAGTACAGTATGTCGAGGTTTGGTACATCCCTCCTCTGTCGATAATTAAACACACCGGAAAATTGTTATTCCCGGCGTAGGAACGTTCAAGTAGTTTAATTTTCCTAATTTAAATTCCATCGGCATTAAACAATGTGAAAATTACTTTTTCGAATTATAAAAAATACTTGTGCATGTAATACGATGTATGTATGTAAAACTATCAAAATATCACACATAGAGCATTCCTCGAAAAAGATAGTCTCCTGCGGCGAAAAAAAAAAAAAAGAAAAAAAAAAGTAAAAATGCATAAATAAAGATAATAAAAGTAAGAGGTAAAAATAAGTAAAGGTAATAAAAGTAAAAGTTGTGTTTGCACATTCGAATCGTTTCGTCCGTAAGCAGACCACCTTTTTCAGGAACGAACTATTGGCAAACGACAGTGGTCGATTTATCATTTTAATAGTACGGTGTTTTTGGTTTCAGGAATATTCCGCGGAAGCGGTGTCCCACGTTCACAAATACCTTATGAAAAACGAGGTGCCCGTTAATTTATTCGAGGTTGGTCCCTTTTAATCTTTTCTTGCTTCGCGGCTGTGAACAGAGTCTGAGTGTTCTTCGATATAGATTGTTTGGTACCAGTACAGCGGTGTAATAACGCAGTACGACGATAACTACGAGTAAAACGAGAAATTAATCCTGAAATATTAAATAGCGGGACACTGCGTTAAGCCGCTTGATTTTCTTTCAACAAAACTTTCGACAAAACGGTAGCTAGTTCACGTTATTTATCTCTGTTATCTCGATTAATAAATTCGTTCTGAATATGAGCGTAGCACAAGTGTATTTTATTTTGATCGTTTCATATGTTACTTACTCATTTACTATCACGTTTAAATTCGGAACTGATTCCTTCCAGCCGTATATCGAAGAGATTTTTAATCACTTAAGGGGGGAGCCGTTCAAGAAATTTCTAGAGAGGTACGTTGGCCGGCTAATAAAAGAAAAAAAAAAAAAAAAAAAAAAAAAAAAAAAAAGAAACAAAAGCAAAAAAAAAAAAAAACCAAGTTGTCACGAAATTCCTAAGCAGCGCTGTTTCACGTTTCTTTTTCCAGCGAGAAGTATACTCGTTTCTGCCAGTGGAAAAACCTAGAACTGAATATGCAAGTAAGTTGGCAAACTGAATGTTCGTGACGTAATTAGAGTTCAATTAAAATTCAATGTGATACAATTACTCGCGTTCATTGTAAAATTGTTGTTTCAGTTGACAATGAACGACTTCAGTGTGCATCGGATAATAGGGAGAGGCGGTTTCGGCGAGGTGTACGGGTGCCGGAAGGCAGACACAGGGAAAATGTACGCGATGAAGTGCCTCGACAAGAAGCGAATAAAAATGAAACAAGGCGAAACTTTAGCGCTCAACGAAAGGATAATGCTTTCGGCAGTCAGTACCGGAGTAAGCTTTACTCAGGAATACGATATCCTAAAAATACAGTAGACTATTCTAAACTTTAGGATACAGTGTATTGTGATCTTTCGTTTTCTTGTACAGTTGCCTAAGATCACAAGGGACGCAAATGTTGAGCGTTGTTGCAAAGAAATTAAAAAAAACATTCGCGGAAAATCCATAGACGCAATGAAATTAATTTTCTTTCTTAACTTCTTGCGCTGGAATGATATGCCACACAAGTCGAGAATTTTTGCAATATTTTCTCAGTTTAAGTATAACCCAGGCAAGACAAAAATAATAAATTTATTACCTCTCAGTACTTTCTATCCAGTAATAATGCTATCATACCGACGTGTTCAAAAAGAAAGCAACGAATTATTGTATACGGTTTGGTCCGCAATCAGGCTTGCCAGCGCAAGTGGTTAAATCGATTATTCATAAAATCATCGTTCATAAAAACAAACGACGAATATAGAAGGAACTTGGCGTTCTCACAGAATTCTAAGCGATAACGTTTCATTTCAGGTGGATTGTCCGTTTATAGTGTGCATGACGTACGCGTTCCAAACGCCGGATAAACTCTGTTTCATTCTGGACCTGATGAACGGCGGCGATCTTCATTATCACCTTAGCCAGCACGGGGTGTTCAACGAACGGGAGATGAAGTTCTACGCGGCAGAGGTGATACTGGGATTGGAGCACATGCACCGCAGGTACATCGTTTACAGAGATCTGAAGCCGGCGAATATTCTCCTGGACGAGCACGGCCACGTGAGGATATCCGATCTGGGCCTGGCCTGCGATTTCTCCAAGAAGAAACCGCACGCCAGCGTGTAAGTACCACCGAGATAATACTACGTTTTCACATTCCACAATTCGTCCCCGTTGTCGCGTGAATCACGAAAAACGTGTTCTTGTTGCAGAGGAACGCACGGATACATGGCGCCGGAAGTGTTGTCGAAAGGAGTGACCTACGATTCCAGCGCCGACTGGTTCTCGTTTGGCTGTATGTTGCATAAATTGTTGAAGGGGCACAGTCCGTTCAGGCAACATAAAACGAAGGACAAACACGAAATAGATCACATGACACTAACTAAGGTTTGTTAGGTTTGTCCTGTCGTGGCGACGAAAAGGTGAAGAAAACTGATAATGATAATTTCAGAATGTCGAGCTGCCAGAAACGTTCTCGCGGGATTTGCGTTCGTTGCTGGAAGGTCTGCTGCAGCGAGACATCAACAACAGACTCGGCTGCCGTGGCGGTGGCGCGGACGAGTTGAAGGAACACTCGTTTTTCAGCGGTATCGATTGGCAACAGGTTTATCTCCAGAAATACACGCCGCCGCTTATACCACCGCGCGGCGAGGTGAACGCCGCGGACGCCTTTGACATTGGCTCCTTTGACGAGGAGGACACGAAGGGTATCAAACTGACGGACGCGGATCAAGAGCTGTACAAAAATTTCCCTTTAACCATCTCGGAGAGATGGCAGGCTGAAGTAGCCGAGACTGTGTTCGAGACAATCAATAATGAGGCGGATAAGGTACGAATTGTTTGTTTCTTTTATTTTCTTTGTTCTCTCTCTTTCTCTCTCTCTTATTCATTTTTCTATTTCCTTTTCGTAGTTGGAAAATAAGAAGAAAGCCAAGCAAAAGCAGCGGTTCGATGCGGATGAAAAAGGTGTGAACGCTTTGCCTGTTCAATAATGCATCAATCAAAGAACGTATCAATTACGTCAAAGGTTGTTTTTTGCAGGATCTGATTGCATTTTACACGGTTATATTAAGAAATTAGGCGGCCCGTTCGCGAGTGCGTGGCAAACACGTTATGCAAAACTCTATCCCAATAGATTAGAATTACATCCCGAGTCAACCACGACGAAGCCTGAACTCGTTTTTCTTGATCAGGTAAATGAATGAATAAATTTAACAGCGATACTCGAGTACGTCAATTAAATCAACATATTTCCGATACATTTCTTAGAAACGCCAACAGGTAATAGTGCTCAACTGATAATTAGATAAATGTTACGGAATTAAGAATTTCGCTTTTGCATTTTTTTTTTCTTTTTTCTTAATTAAACAGCATTTTCGAAGCCTATTAATGTAATTTTATATCCAAATAAACTTTTAGGTCGAAGAAGTTAGCGCGGATCTTCAGCACGTAAAAGGAGAACAGTGTATCGTTGTTCGTATGAGAGACGCAAAAATAGTACTTACGAATCCTGTAAGTATATTGTCGTGAAAACGATATTAAAAAAAAAAAAGAAAATCATCATCATCGTTATCGCAGTACTGTAAATTTCTTGGATCGTTGTGAAAAAGAAAAATTTCACTTCCACAGGATGAGATCAGTCTGAAGGAATGGGCATTGTCACTGAGATCTGCCCACAAATGCTCGATGGAGATGCTGGGTAACATGGCGAAGAAAGCTGGCAAGATTTACGGGACTGAACGGGACGCAGTGATTCCGGCAATGCAGCGCTCGACGAACGGCAACTAGCCCATTGCTAAAACGTGTACGCCGTCGTCATACTCCAGTCCCACTGCCCCCCAGCAGCAACAGCAGCAGCAACTTTTTTTATACTGAGAATCAACGCAGAGAAAGAGAGTTAGAGAGAAAGAGAGAGAGAGAGACCTAGAGAAATTTCCAACGAGTGAACGGATCGGGAGGTGATCAGGAGGCGATTCCTGGCAAACGTGATCATCGGCGGAATCCGAAACCGCGACCCGAAACGAAAAAGCATCTAAGTCTCGAAAACAGCTCCAAAGAAAACACTCCCCTTGAACGGCGAGTAGCGTCGCGCTGTATAGAGACTCTAGGAAGTAGTGTCGTACGAATCGTCACGTCATTATATTTGTACGTTAGCTGTATGTGCAATGTGGCGTAGGAACTAGCGACTGAACAATGTCCAATCGACACCCACGCGAGCGAACGCGCTCACGCAAAAGTATCCACACGAGAGACACACGTACACACACGCCTGCACGCACACACACGTACACACACACACACACACATACCACACGTAAAGAACACGAGAATGCAACCGGTAGTGTTATTATTGTTATATCAAATAACGAGATACGCCCTGAATCCCGATTATACTTCTTCTACACTGTTCTATACCGCTCGTTTACTTAATTTATTTACTAATGCAGAACGATTTTATATTGTCGTTACGTAATACGGTAATACACGCGCGCGAATTCGTTTATTTATTGCGTTGGAGGGAAACAAGAGACAAACGAAAGAAGAACTCGATACAGTTTGTACATTGTCGACAGCCAACCGATGATAGCTGTAATAACGAAAAAATCAATAAAACGTTTAAAAAAAAAAAAACACCAAAAAAAAGAAACAAAAGAAAGAAAAAAAGAAAAAAAGAAACTATGTACGCTCGAGTGGATAAAGACGAGTTCGCTCCGGCAATAAAATTGTGCGACGAACGTAGATCTCGTCTACATTTCTTCATTCTGCTCAGCCCTATGTCCAGTGTAGGGAAATACGTAGCTATTAAGCGAATCGACTAAATCGAACACGAAATAAGAAACATCTTTGTCTTTATTTTTTTTTTTTTTCCGTTTCTTTGCCAACTACGTTACGTTATCATCTAATATGTAATCTTTATATATTTCCAGCTAAAGGCAATTACAATAAAAAAAGAACGGACTTGCAATATTTTTAACCATGACAAGTATGAACAAAATTTCAAATCGTAAAGGATGTTCTGCGGGTTCTCTGGATACGTGGAAGTTCTCCAAGATCTAAAGAGCGTAATAAATTTAAACTTTAGGAAATCACGATACGGCCGATATCGATATTATAGTTCGTATGTATTTGTGTTTACTACAAAAGAAAAAAGAAAAAAAAGTTGTATAAATCGTTTTATGTATTTTTACATGTGGATAATTTAATTATACCAAATTAAATTTTCTTTATACGAAAACAAACAGACCGATCTGACGATTGTTAATCTTTGAAAATCCATTTGAAAATTGAATTAACATTTACGCGACTCGATGCAGATTCTATCAGCGATGAAAACAGTAGCGTAAAGAATTTTCCACCATTAATTTCAAAAGATATTTGCGTAGTAAAATTTTTTCGCAGAGAAGTAATAGAATAATTTTTTTTTTTTAACAATGCTAGTAACTGATAAATACAATAAACAAAACATTTTATTTACTCTTTCTTAACTCCTATTACGCAATTCCGTCGTTTCTTTTCGGGACTTCTCTCTTTCACGTTATTTCTAATTAAAGAGTCAGAATCGATTGTTCTGGGATCGCAAGAAAGGTCATTACATCGCAAGCTAATTAATTACTTGTGACTGAACATTTATTGGAACTTTATAATAATAATGTACAAAGTTATAGAATTGTTGAAATTTTATAACGCCTTTTCACCCAATAATAGCATGGCTTAATGAACAATCAGTAACAAGTGTGTTCATATTTTTATATGGAAATTAATTACCCTCTGCGAATGAAAATTTGATCGATTTACGAACATTCAAATGCATACGATCACCACATAGTGGTGAGAGGATGGAATTAATCGCTGTTGCTGTCCTTTTCGCGCACTATCGCTCTCCTTGTCTACGAAAATACTGCCATCTGTAAACACATCAGACAAGCAGTATCTAAAAAAAAGTGTGACAAAAATATCAAGTTCTGCCATCTGTCGGATTTTATCTATTTATCCTTTTAGTTCCAGTCGGATTTGAGAGTAGTTCAGATGGCAGCACACGGCATATATCTGTAGCGACCTCTACTTCGAAGAATTTAGATCAACGACATCTATGTTCCGTCGAGATGTATATTTAATATAAACAATAGAGTATTTAAAAATAGCTATTAATTTTATTATCACCATGGAAATGTTTACTGCCACTTATATATATTGTAGCCATAATAGAAAATCTTCATTCATTCGTTATTCGTTATTTCGTTATTTCGTCATTTCGTCATTTAAATTCTATTATGTAAACTTCATTAAATTATTAGTAATTGTATATT